AAAAAAACGTGATTCGTTACCAACAATAGCCCTTTAGTATTAAAGGGCGCCAACAACGTTGTTTTGTCGATTTCGAGTTATCAATGATTTTTCAAAAAAAAACAAAAAAGAGCGTAATTTTACGTTACACCTGATCTTGCTATCTAATTGGCTAGATTCCGAAAAAATCACGTGACCAGCCACATTTTTTTCGCCATGGCTAGGGTTTTAGTTACTACCTATATAAAAAATCGATTTATTTAAATAAAACAATTGGAACTAGTGACGTAATAAGTCTGCATCTATATTCTTTTTAGTAATACCCACATTCACATTCACATGATAACGAAAAAACTTATTTACATTTATAGAATCGCCTAAAGAATACTTTCTTACGTAAATGATGATTTTAAAACGGACTGTTTTGTTGATTTAATATTGGCCAATTGTCGATCGTCATGTGTAGTGAAATTTTGTTTATAGTTCTATAGTTGCAGGAATTTAAAAACCACAGAATCTATTTAGTGATATGTTCTTTACGCGTACGCTACTTGGTTTTTTTTTTAATATTATAGTGCCAGAATTAGAAGTTTGGAATAGAAACTGGAATTGGGGTGTTTTAAGCATTTTTGGTCACATACTTTAGATTTTTCAACCCAGGAAAATTTTGACCGAATATTTAAATGTTCGAGTTTTTAAGATATCAAATTACTTAATATAAGTACAGATTATAAATTCATTGAATAAAAACGATATTTTTAACATTAAATATAATATTAAAAATAAATAATTTTAGTTTAATATTCTCTTCGCATTCATAACACACTATATATGTATTATCATCTTTTACCATATTGGTTTTCCTTTGCCATCTTTATTAATTACTACGATTGAATAAATCTAGGATAATTTTTTTAGCACTTCTAATTTGTTTTTAGATTGCTTTAACTGTTAGTAACAGCTTCTCTATATTATATTTTTGGTTCTTCACAAACTGAAATATTACGATATTTATCCTTATCAAAAGAGAATTGTATTGAAATATCAACAGATTTAGTATCTTTATTCAATATTAAATCAAATTTTGGTTTATTAATTAAGGCCAATTGAAAGATTAATTAATAAATATTTATTAAACCTTTTAAACTATTTATTATAATCAACGTTAAAATTTAACTTTGCTCGATTATCGACAAATTAAAACTTGATAATCAACAAATGAAATTTTTTTTGATGATTATTTAATAATTCCACTCTCTATTTTGGAATTAGGATTTTAATAAAAATTCTCATCTGTAACAATTCTAATTTGGATATATATATTGTTTGACCGAGACCTCTAGAATATGCGTAGTATTAGTGTTTTATAATGTATAATATTTAAAAACAATTACTAAAGAAAAGATATTTATCACCCTCTATAAATACAAAAATACATATACTGTATATAGAGCGAGATGTCCAGACATCCGATTTATTACTTTATCTACTTAATAAAAAACATTACAAACTGCAAAAAAAAAAGAAATTTAATTATTTATTCTATTTTATAATTTTTTTTTTTTGCAAATCATTAGATTTGCAAAATTTAGCACCTTTGGTGTGATTACACATCACTATGGTTATAAAAAATAAAGAAATTATCCGATATATCTAGATGTCGGTTTAACCAGAGGCTTTTCCACATTAAATAGGTAGACTTCAAAAAAAAATTTTTTTTTAAAAAAAAACTATAATCAGCTGTTAGTTTATATAGTTATTTCACAAGACTTTTAATTCTAACAAACACTACCCTTGAATCAGGCTAATCCTAACTATAAAGTGGGTCAACCATAATTGTCGGTAAAATGGTTATCGGGAAAGAGATCCATCGATTACGCGTCATAGAAGTTTTTCCTAAATGTGGCATAGCTTTGTCTTATAAGAGTTCACTGTGTTCTTATCCCTATAAATGCATTCTTATCCTATAGTTGCTTTTGTTTTTACTATGGACCAGATATACTTTTAAGCAACAAGATCCAAAAAATTCTATAACTTATATTATACAGATAAACTGTTATGATGTTATTGCTGACATGATAAAATTGGCAGCACTATGTGCCTTTGGATGTCAAAAGCAACATCTCACATCTTAACATTAATTTATTCAAATTATGATTGAAGGTGTATATGTGCATAAATATTATATTTATAATGCAAGGTTTTTTATACATACAAAACAAAAACATTTCATTATCAATCTAGTCAATATAATTTATCATTTTATCGATACATGGCACATCACCAAGCGATAACAAACTTTTTTTTAAAGAATTGTACGGAAAATCTATATTAAAACTTTCATTTGTACTGTAAACATGATATAAATAACTTCGATTATATGGGGCTTTTGCTAACAAAATGACCCTCCGAGCTATTGTTACACGAGATTTTAATTAGTAAAATCATAACAAATCTATTTTTAGTAAAAAAAAATCATAGCAAAGGCCCCATATATAAATTAAATTATCAAAACTTAATAAATTACCGATAAATAAAGCAATAAAAGATCCAATGATCAATTCTAAACAGTTAACGTAAACGTCTGAAGCAGCAGCAGTGGCGACTGAAGGTGTAGTTGGACTTTATATTAATAGCAATAGTAATAATATTGTAATTGTCAAATACATGATAATTAGTTAAAAGAATTAATAATTGTTGAGAATGATGCTGAAATTTGGGCCTATTTTAATATTAAATTTTAAAATTTTTGGGACATCATCCTATTACGGCATCATTCCAAACAACAATCAACCAAAAAGTTTCTTAAAATATACACTCACGATTTACTACTAGGAACCGTACCGGTGGGACCCGGAGCACCAGGAATTGGGGCACCGTGGGTTCCCTTGGGTGCTCCTGATGGTGCTGCTGCTCCGGTTGGTGCCGCTGGTGGTTGTGGTTCTACTGATGATGGTCCTGCTCCGGTTGGTGCCGCTGATCCTACTGGTGATGGTCCTCCTGATGCTGCTGGTGCTGCTGGTGGTGCTTCTGGTGGTGCTTCTGGTGGTGCTCTGGCTGTCGCTACTGATGGTTCTCCTGTCGTTGCTGGTGATTTCGGTTGTCTTTGAGCAAGAATGCCGGAGACCATAAAAATACAAATAACGAGAAAGATAATTGTATTTTTAATGATATTCATTTCGTATTAAAATGTGAGCCTGGTTTCTTGAATTTAAGTCAAGTCGATAAAGTGTTAATTTAACCTTGGCATAACTCTTTTATAATACTTAAATGGAGCGAACAAGGACCTATATTTATAAGAAATCGTAAACACAATTAAAATTAGGTTACCGAATTGCCGCTGCAAATATTACATTGGTATCCTATCGCTATTGTTTACGAGGTCAATCAAGAATCAGATTATTGCCAAATTTAACCAATTGGTTAAGATTTTAAATACACAAACTTACTGACCTCAATATCGCAATAATTAGGTAACCTTTTATTGATTCCTATTGACCTCTTTGGTGCCAAAATCTGTAAACAATAGGATACCAATAAGTTAAATTTGGCAACAATCGGGTAATCCCTGTTGAATATCATTTTATTTGTGTATCCCTATAAATGCATTTTCCCCTATATTTGCTTTGTTCTACTATGGACTGGGTATATTTTTAGATAAAATCCAAAAAATTCTTAATAAATTCTATTATACAAATAGCTATAATCTATATATTTATGCTTTACAAATTGATTATTCTTATTGTTGACATGATAAATTGGCAGCATGATGTACGCATCTTAACATTAATCTGTTCAAATTATGGTTTAAAGTGCATATGGGCTAGATGGTACAAAGAGGAAAAATTGACAAACTTTTTTTGCATAAATCAATTTAAAATAAGATTAGTAGAATTATTTATTTTTCACTTAAGACACAAAAGCAGTTGTATTAATAAAACTTTGCAGTATGGCCTTTTTTTTTTAAGGGCCAAGGTGAGATCTTGCCTCGCTATTTTATTAAATATATTATATTGCATACGTATAACTACCAAAGCATTCCATATCATACCTATGTATTATCTGAATTTTGCTTCCCAACACACTATATTTAGTTACTCGTATATTTCCACATTTTCTACGATACTCCTTTACAACTCCCAAATTGGTGTTTATGGGTGATCGCAGTTTTCTTTAGTCAGCAGAATAGCCTTTTGAATCTGTTATTCTTATGATTTATTATAAAATTTATAAAATTTATAACAAAAATTTATTTTCCAAATATCTTCTTTTTTTGTTAATTTCCCTCTTGTAGCACTCAGCTCATATGTACAAAATATTATCTGTATTGTTCGTTGTAAATACGTACGTACGTACTACGTAGAAACATGCGTAACATTATGGGTCCGCACAAACGCGTAAGTTTGTTACACTAAATTACAAATTTGAACGCGCGTGCGGACAGATAAAAAATTTCCAGATTACGTTTTTGATGCAGATGTATCAAAAAAGTAACCATTTTAGTCTAAAGCATCAAAAACGTAATTTTTTGTATTACTTTGCATAGTCCTTTGCTACGCTCTGGATCAATAATCCCAAAAAACAAATTTCGTTATCAATATTAATCAGTATAATTTATCACTTTGGTGATATATTGTATATTGATTAAATTTTTTTAAAAAAATTGTATGGGAAAATCTATATTTTACAAACGTCCATTTGTACTGTAAGCATGTTATATAATCGAAGTTTTGATTATATATAAACTACACTCTATCAAATAATAAACCAAAAATGAACAAAGCAATAAAAGATCCTGTGATCAATTCTAAACAGTTAACGCGAACGTCTGAAGCAGCAGCAGTGGCGGCTGAAGGTACAGTTGTTGAACTTTATATTAACAACAATAGTAATAATACAGTAATATTGTATTTATTAAATATATGATTATTAGTAAGGAATTAAAAAAAATTCAGTAATTGTCGGAATATTGATCAACCAAAAGTTAAAAATGTATACTCACGATTTGACACTAGGAGCTGCACTAACGGGACCTAGTGCACCAGAAGTTGCCGGACCGCTGGAGTTTAAAGCTGGTAGACTAGATGATGACGGTCCAGGTGATGGCGGTTTGGTGGGTCCAGTAGGTATTGTTCCAGATGGTGCTGGTCCGGCTGGTTCAATAGGTGCTTCAGAGGGTGCTGTCGGGCCGGCGGGTATTGTTTCAGATGGTGCCGGTCCGGTGGATTCAGTAGGTGCTCCAGAGGGTGCTACTGTTGGTCCAACAGGTTCTTTTGCATCTCTATTGAGAGAAAAGATGTTGAAAAAAAAAATAATAAAATACTATTGAATTTTCGAAGTTACTTTTGAAAACTTACGTGTCAGTTTGAACTTTTGGGTTTTGAGCAAGAACGCCAGAGACCATAATACAAACGACTAAGATAATTGTATTTTTAGTGATATTCATTTTGTGTTCAAATGTTCTTTTTAGATCAAGCCAATAAAATGATAATTTAATATTAGTATAATCCTTTCGTAATACTTGAATGAAAGGAACAAGAACCTATATTTATAAGAAACAGTGAACATAATCAAAGATTCATTAATTAATTTATTTGAGTATATCTATCCTTCCTGCGCCAGACGCAAAACGCCTCTCTATAAAACAAATATGCGATTAACCAAATAAACTAGTACAGTAAATTATAATATAATCCTAATTGAATGATCTACAAACTATTGTCGTGGGCCAAATGAACAAACCCACACACACAAAACAAAGCGGTATCAAGGCTTTACTCAACGGGTAGAGGCGGAATCGACTTGGCAAGGTCTAAGGCGATAGTTGAGTATAATTAAGACTGGGGTGATTTGGTAAACTTAAAGAGCGTTATATTTTTATTGACACAAAGGGCTTTTTATTTATTATGTAGGGGCAATTATACACGGTCAATAATAATGCGGTAATTAATGCTTTTATGAGGACGATTCGACCCCTTATTTATAACGAAATTACAAGTCAAGAGAAGAACAAAATCGAAGATTCTAATTTAATTCCCATCTTCTTTTTCATTATACCGTCATTGAACTGTAGCCATACAACCATTCTAGTCTAATGCCCTACTCCTTACACACAGCCATTCTCATTGAAATGTTCGACGGAATGGAAAAAGAAGGCAAGTCAAATGAAGGCTTCTACGCCGTCATAGTTTTTTACCCGTCAATTTTATTAATTCATTCATTGCCTCTTCCATCAATTCATATGCTTTTTCTATTTCACGGCCACACCTTACCCGACAAGGTAATATTATCTTGACAGATGTCATACCGAATCGGGGATCGTTGATGGGGGGCTTGGCTTTCATAAGATCTTCATTCATGCTTTAATTCAGAGGGCCTGGTTTGAACAGGTTTGCTTGCATGCGATCGTTGTTCGAAAATCGGGATAGATTAGCTGAGAAACAAAAATTCAGCAGATCGGCCCGAATTATGGGTCGGATTTAGGCCGGCATTAAGAAATAACAACTAACTGTATTACACCAAAATTATCATCTGGGCAGCTTTACTTAGTGAGTGGGTTATGGTTTCATTAGTAAAATTTTGAGTGATCTTTGGCAAAATTAATCAATGCCGGTGCATTCCGACCCATAATTCAAAGTACCCTAGCCATTCAGAAAAAAAGTGGCAGACACGTGATTTTTCAAAATCTGGCCAATTAGATAGAAAGATCAGGTGTAATGTCAAAATCACGCTTTTTTTGTTTTTTTTTTGAAAAATCATCAATAACTCGAAATTTCGCTTATGAAATTACCTTCTGCGTACTAACAAAAAAAATTCCTCGCTTAAATTTTTGTATATATTATGCTATATTCAAACCAAAATTTTAACCCTAACAATAAGGTTTATTACTTTGAATTATATACTTATACGATTGTTTTGATTTTTGCTGATTGGCAGAAATTACGTGACTGCCACTTTTTTTTCTGGATGGCTAGGGTACTGCATAATTCGGGCCGATCTGCTGAATTTTTGTTTTTCCGCTAATCCAGTCTCAGATATTACCAAATATAGGGGTCGTCTAAAGCAGAGCAGAATCACGTGATATCTGGCCAATCAAATTATAGAATTTTGATGATCGCCGGCGAAGCAAAACGAGAAATAAAAACGAAAAACCTGAAAAATACAA